ACCACTCTCTCTCTCTCTCTCTCTCTCTCTCTCTCTAGACCTACAAGCCCATCAAAAACACCCTCTCTCTCTAGATCATAGCTGCTGGGATCTCCCAAACAATGTGGTGATCCCACGCTGGAATCTCAATCCTGCGAAAAGAATCAGCGCAAGGGGTCTTGATTTTTAAATTCAAAGATCTCAATCTCAAACAACTATTAGGGATCTTGAACCCGACCATAAAGACCAAGATAGCGACCAAATTGATGACTTTCATTATTTAAAGCCAACTAGTACACCAAACTTAAAATATGGTAAACAAATAAGGGAAACAAGATATCGACCAAACTGATGATTCCCTTCATTTTCGTATACACATTTCAACATCAAGCAAACAAAGATGGGAAACAAGTCAAGTGTACAACATCAAACTTAAAAGATGGGAAACAAGTTAGTGTACAATAATTTTCAAGATAGTAGGTTTTTATTGATCTGTTCGAAATACATTAGTTTTAGAGCTTTAAATTTTATAATTAAAGATAAAAATATATTTTAAGGTTATAACAAAGATTTTCAGTATTGAAACCACATTTTTCAGCACCTTTTGAAGGTGTGCTTTACTTTTTTTGATACAAACCGCTTTACTTTTTTTGGTACAAACCGCGCATTTTATTATTTGAAGACAATTAATTGTCGATTTACCATACGATCTTCACAGCTAATAACGACGTTACTTCTCAACATTATCAATTAATGGTAGATTCCTCAGATCTACGACAACCTCTGGCCGCCCCCTTTTTGTTGGCAAGGGAAGCAACAAAACCCACCAATAATTCTTAATAATTCACCACATGGTACACCGACCTTATCCTATGCGATCAAATGATGCATCTTACTGGTCACCCCTAGCCGCCCTCCAAACCCTTATCTAACGGCCCAGATTCACCCACTCACCCTAATTGAAGGAAGAGCAGACCTTTCGTATCTCTCCCTCTGTTCCAGTTTTGACACCAATGTTGCTCATCTTAACCATGGAGCGCCCAAACTCTACACCAAACCTTAGTCCAAGCACTCCTCTCAGTATTCCGGCATAATTCTTTACATAAGTACGAGTGGAATCATCTGTGAACAATCTTTGATCAGATTCCAGTATTCCCTGACCGTTTCTTAGGTTAGTGAAGTACGACACATCGAATGTGTTTTGACTCCCGGTGTCTAGAGCCACTCTTCTGGTACCGTCTCCGTCAAATGGACACAGGGTTTGCAGTTGAGAGACGAATGATGAGCTTATCGTTGGGTCGGCTCCGTTGCCGGCGGTTGTGAAGTTGTAGAGACGGTATCGAAAAAACTGACACTCTGTTGTGCCGATTGTGTGACCCCCTGAAAGATTACAGATATGGTCGGCTATAATTGTGTAATTTTATGATTAGAAGGCATTTGAAATTTAATGAATTTCGAGGTTGAAAGCTGAAATTTCATCAAGTTGTCATTGAAGTTTTTGAACTTTTGATGTTTTTATAGTGGCATGGCTGCCATTGGATCGGTAGGCATGACGATCTCCATCGTCCAATATGTCGAGCCTATCATTACATTGATGGTGAAGATCACATATCTATTGATGCAACCGTTGGAAGGGTTTTACTCTAGCCTAACGTGGTGGGATGCCACTATACCATAACGATACTTTTTATGAACACAAAAAATTGTTCTTTCTTCGGCTAACAATTTTAGCTTCAATAAAGGTTTGTAGAGAAGCGAAATCACTTGGCCAACAGAGGTGCTTCTTTAGACTCATTGATTGTTTCTTCTCATTTACTTTAACTCTATCAAGTACTTCCTTTGATTTAATAATATTCAACATTTTTTAAAAAAAAAAATAAAATGAAAATAATAATAATAATTCGAAGACAAGAAAGTGTAAAATGTGGGCCCTTTTAGATGACAAGTGACCATAGAGCATCAACTTTACAATCTCATTTCCTCTTTATATCTCTCTATAAGTTAACGCGTGAGAGATAGTGGGTACCAAACGAAAAATACAATTCCGTTCACACCTCCCCCATCTCTCTCTCTCTAAGTTCCATTCACACCTCCTTACTACCTTTAACGTGGGCCTGAATACATGCCTCCGAATAAACACACACTAACAAAAGCATGCACCCACTTAAGCTTTTTCTGGATAAGAAACTATATACGTGTGCTTTAATAACTAAACTGAGTTATATGTGCACTTGCCCCTAGTGACCTAAATACCAACCATCAAATATAAGTCCTCAAGCTTGTTTTAATCTCACAAAACCTCTTTCTTGTAGTTGTAACTACCATATTTATTTTTGGAAAAATTTTAAATAAGGTTGCAACTTTAAAATGTAGAATTAAAGATACCCTCTAATTGATCATCTCGATATCGATATGTATCTGCGAAATAGTGCATCTTGCAACACATTATCTAGACCGTCTACTTTCAAGACTTTCATGTGTTTCTAGATCTATTTGATTTGAATCATTTTTAGAGTTTAAAATTTTATAATTAGAGATGAAAATAGATTCTCAAGTCATCCTACAATTTTTTTTTTAATCAAAATTACATTTATGATAAAATTTAGAGGTGCGGCTTAATTGGATTGTTTAAGGTTGTGACCTTATGGAAACCACACCCATTATTTTTACTTATTAATACTCTCACATTAAGGGCCTTAGAAAATCATCGATCAACATTGTCAAAGTTTTTTTTCAACTAATTAAGATCGTTTGCATGAATCATAGAATACCAGTCTCTTTTATTAAGGACCATACTTTATTCTCCTCTATTATGGATCATATCTTCAGTGAGGCCATAAGTCTCTATATTTTTTTCTCATTACATCTATTCAAGTATTTTTTGGTCTACTACTTCTTTCTTTTTTAGCTTTCCACTTGAACTAACTCGCACATCCCAATATGTACTATATTTTAGAGGTGCTATCTGGATTTGTACCGCACATAGCTAGTCTACTTAAATCCACTCTCTCTCATGGTTGTGAAAGAGAAATTTATTTGAGCAAATTTAATTTGAGTGAAAATTTGATGAGGGTCGCTTACCAACGAGAGTGACTAAGTCATGCGTGTTGAGGCCTTTTTCGATGAATTTTTGTTTCTGCACATCCACTGAGTCTGTGAATCCTGGCAAATTTGATGCGTCGGAAGCCGCGGATACCAACCCATCTCTCCTTCCCAGGGGCACCGACCAGCTCAAACCCTTCGTCTGCACACATCACGCAAACACAACATCATCAACTAGAGAGAGAGAGAGAAAGTGAGTTACATATGTAAAGAAAGAAACATGAAAATGAGAGAGCGAGAATTTCGAAACATAACAAGTCTGGAAAACACAATACCAAATCAACGGAATCACGAGCGGCAAGAGCTAGAATGTCTGCACAAGAAACAACACCAGGACATGCAGCCTCAAGGTGAGCCTTGGCATCGTCAATCACTTCGAATCCTCTTAGAGAGAGATTCGGCAGTGCGTTTCTCTCAGCTGAAGGACCATTGATGAGAACAGAGGCATCGCAGCCCTGAACAAAGCAGTCATGGAAGTGCATTCTCAGCAAAGCAGGAGCCACTGATGGGTCTGATTTGAAGTGAGACTCAACAGCGGATCGAACAATCGACTCGACACGTGAGCACGATGATGAGTAGAAACCCACTTTAGTGCCCTGGCCTTGAGTTGGTATGGCATAAGCAAATACCAGAAGGAAGGGTAAGAGGAGCTTATAGATTGAATCCCCATGATATGCCATGACGAGAGAGAGTGAGAGAGATGGGAAGGTAGTTTTTTGAACGTAAGTAGAAGATGGAGGGTGTGCTTATTATAGTGGAGACTGGAGAGAGAGAGAGAGAGGGGGTGATTGTTAGCGAGAGAAACGTGTTGTCCTTTGGAGCGATACGAAAGAGCCGCCCTGTAAGACTTATAGACACCGTCCCTCAAGCAACCTTTTTTATCACAAGTTTTACCCCCTAAAAACCTTTTCTTGCTAATACCCCCAAATCAAAATGCGATTGGTTTTTTTTTTTTTTTTTTTGGCAAAAATGCCTTTGCCCATACACATTGACATCACATCCCGTAAGATGTTCAATGACTCGAAAGAATGCCGGATCGAGTCCACAAAGTGCCATACTTAGTGGATACATTGTCGAACGGCACTTTGGCCCTATTGTCGGGGCGCATGGGCCTGTTGTTGGACCGTCTTTTTTAGTGCCAATGGAAAAGTTAAATAGTCGGTGTTAGAAGAGTGAGAAGGCATTTTGATCTCAAAACCATAATTTTTTTATTAGGGGTATTTGTTAGAAAAGTTTGTTTTGAAGTAAAAATTATGACAAAAAGTTTATTTGGGGTCATACAGATTTTTGTTATTTTCGAAAAAGTCATAGGAGAGAGGATGGGTGGGATACATGAGAAAAATCATGAGAGAGTGAGAGAGATAAAGAGGGGAGAGTAGCGGTGGTAAGGTTTGTCTAGTTTTGAAGTTTTTCTCTCCAGGGCCCAGCTGACGCTTAGAACAACTATGAATAGAGAGAGCGGGAGCGACGCTCGTTTGTAGTAAGGAGGGTTGAGATTATTCTTAAGTCAAAGATGTATGATTGTGAATATAAGCGCGTATTGGATTGGTGGGCTCTGAGTATAATCCCACTCTCTCTCGCAATTGCTTGCTCGTTTCCATTGAATCAAAATTTCAAATGCAAAGTCAATAAATCTCGGTCTTATATTTGCACCGTCATTTCATTGGTGCGGGTATGGGCCACTATATCGCCTCTTTGAATGATTTTTATTTTTTATTTTTTACCTTTTTTTTTTTTGAGAAGCACAAGGCTTCGCGTGAAGTTGGCTGAGTAGAATTTATGTATGTTAGCCCGTGATTGCTATTTTTGATTCTACTAATCCAAACCCAACTTAACTTTGAACCCTGTTAGGGATTTTTGCGGCCAACTTTTGATACGAAACAATTTGAGAGGAGCACGAGTTTGTTCGTCTCGAAGCTTTTTTATTGATGAACATTGCTTTTCCGCTTATTGGATAACCATGCGCTCGGTTTCCGCACAAAATCATTGGGGGATGGATGTCAATGGAATTGGCGGGTCGAACCCAACGAGGTCCTAGCTGGACCCAAATTTGATTGGGACTTTGGTGAGCTGAAACACCTCGTCTGGTAAGGTCTGGGTCAAGATAAAAGAAAAATAAATTATATTTTATAATATATAAATAATATTGTGTTTGTATTTGTACACTCTCAAGTTGAATATATATACACACACTCACTCTCGAGCTGAGCTGTGTTAGCTGGACATTGACCCAAGGGACGGGAATGGATTAGCTCAGGTACAAATCGACCCCAACCCAATGCGATTATGTCATAATTTAGAATAGGGACCCAATCAGGTCTTGACCGAGAAGTTTGATCAGGGTCCAAGTCAATTGAACTTGAAGCGACCCACCACAATAAATAAATAAATAAATCAAAATTTATTTTATATATATTATATAGTTAATATTATTTTTTCTTTATTTTTTACTAATACATCATGGGCCTGGTCCGCTCAGGTTGATCCCAACCCTAACCCGAACTCAACTCGAAAGAATCAGAGATGGACCCAGACCCAACCTAGGTCGGGTCAAGGTCAAGTGGATCGAGACCAAACTTGCCAAGTCCATTGTCTGCATCAAGTCCCTGACCCGATTGGGTCGACCTTAGCCATTTCCCACCTTTAATTGATTCATACTCGACTTAACACCATAAATTCAAGGATGGACCTAGAAGTTAGGTCCTAACAAGACCCAACCCACTGCGACCAATATTTAAGTCCACAACCAAACACATGTCAAGTCCGTGGGTTTCCCAGGCCCAATTGCCACCCCTCAAAATCACTACCTCGTAGAAATTTCAAGCTGAATGTGATTTTGTTTTATAACGTTTCGTAAACAGGTCCGGTTAAAATAAGAAATATTGTTAAAAGGCTCAAATTATCTTATAAGATCATTGAAGGGATAATATTTCTTATTTACCAATTCTGGATTACTTTCAAGTTTCGACTAGTTGAATTCGCACGTGTGTTTTTAAAGCATTAGATTTATTCAAATAATAATATAAACAATGAATGAACAGACAAAAAGAAGCAATTTCTTCAAATGTAACGAAGGTAAAAAAATGTAAGCAACCAACTTCACAAGGTAAAGGCAAGATAATTATCAATCAGACAGACAAAATAATATAACAGTGCAACCACACGTTTGGCATCACCAATAGATAAAGCAATAATTATTTGCTTCTTTGGGCATGAAGTTGTAGACCCGTAGTGTTCTTGATATCATGTCTATCAATTTGTTTTTTAATTGTGCGTGCCAATCGTTGTAGGTACTTATTAGCATGCAAACCTTGCCTTCTAAAATTTGTATATTTTTTTAACTCCAATAATATCCGTCTCATTCACTCTTTTAAAAAATTAATAAAGATAGTTAACCTTTTAACTTTAAATCATATCCATGCGTGCCAATCTTTTGTAGCTCTTAAGATTAGCCTGCATAAATTTTCGGAGGTGATCATAGGATTTTAGAGGGATTCCTTGTAATTCCTTCTAAACTTTGTTGATAAAAAGATAACTCATCTCACTCTCTACCTCTCTTACTCACGAACCCACACCATTTAATAACTATCATATTGATTTCCTCCAAAAAAAAAATATACAAAATATAAATTCTGGGTCAAATTAAATAAGAAGTCTAGAGAGAGAGGCTCGTGATTTTCAAGGGGAGAATAGTTAGGATACTTCTCCTTATGTAAGAATCAGTTTACAAACTTTTAGAAATTTATTGTATCTTTTGTTCCTTAAGAAAAAAGGAAACACTCCTAAGATCGAAAGTTCCTAAAAAAAATCTCATGTAAATCTCTTAAAATTTGGAATTTCTCTTGGCTTTTTATAAACCCATTCCCTAAGTAACACCTTAAACCGATGACTCCTGACCATATCTTCTCTCTCATCGTAGGGTCCCCTTTATTCTTCCGACATGGGTCAACTCGTAATTTTGGCTTAATAATGTAGTGTATACTTTTTTAGAAAATTTGTTTAGAATTACCAACTTACACCCATTCGGGGTTAGAACCCTGAACCATCAAATGCATTTTAATAATTTAACTTTACTTAATGATGAGAAAACCCCTAGTTCTCTATCGCTAATCTTGAGTAACCAGGGCTATTTTAGTCATTTGCCAGTTCCATTTCTCAAACCAATTTAACCAACAGTATTTTTATAATTAGACTCAAGCTACTGTAATTGGCCAAATTATCAAAATACATCTACTTGTTCAAAGTTCCAAGGTGATTTTGAGAAATTCTTAACAAAATTTTTAATGCAACACCTTTGTGAATAAAACTTAAAAGTATACCCTGCAATAATAAATAGAATATTTGAGCTGTTTACTACTTTCCCCTTATTAAAGTGGGATCTTAAATAATGTGCATTCTCTCTATTTAGTAGAGTGCATCCATTTAAAAGTGCATTCATTTGAAAAAGTTTATACAAAGTTACAACCTTACAGTATAGCAATAAGGTGCACCTTAAAAATTAAGTAGAAAATAGTATTTTTGAAGCTAAAAAACTTTTCAATTGATCATCTCGACCTCTATGGATAGGAAAAGTCTTCCCAATGCCTATAGGCGAAAATAAACAGTGATTTCGCCTATCCTCATCACCGTCCAAAGTCCATCACACGGTCACAATTGTCCGATAATATTTCATTTTTCTTTTTTTTTTTTCAACAAATCAGAATGATCTAAATTTTGGATCATGTGTATATCTTAGTGAGACGCACCTAATAAAAATATAAAAAAAAATAATTCGAGAAAAAAATTGATCAAAATGCCCCTAAAACATTTAGGGGGTATTTTGGTCAATTTATTTCATGTAAAATATTGTTTTGATATTTTTCGTAGATTTGCCTATTTTTTATAAACACACACTCCAAATTTCATATCATTCTGACTTGTAATAAAAAATAAATAATAAAATACTACCGGACAATTGTGACCATGTAATGAACTTTGAATGGTGATGAGAGTAGGCGAAATCACCGTTCATTTTCTCCTATAAATATTTTATATTATCTTCCCTATGGATATAAATAAATAAATAAAAAAAATTTCAAATCCTAAAAATAGTGGAGCTTCTAACAAGTTATTTTCTATCAATTTTCAGGATGTTTAGTATAACACTATCAAATGAGCTTAAGGTAGAATTTACCTAGACTCCCAAGTGGGAAATTGCTGCATAGAACCAAGGCAACTGTTCATTACTGGCGATGGTTAAATGTGACTTCACATTTACTACATGAGCCACACCATTCTCTTGACTGTTGTTTCCTGGCAAGTTGTCACCATTTTCCGGCAAGTCAATGTCATTTTCCAGCAACTTCTCGTCATTTTCCTGTGACCCATCTTCCTCAAAGTGAGATTTGAAAGAAATCCCGTTGCGAGAAGATCCTTCATCTGAATCTATATTCACCGAACCATTGGACTCCAACTCTGAATTACCTGACTCCAAAGGTGGTGGCATGCCTATGGATAGAGGTTCAGATGTTCCAGGCCCAAGCTCACGTTTCCAAAACAAAGTCATCTTCTTTCATTCTTTCACCATATTCCTTAAAGTTGAAGGTTGTTGGGTTACGCCCACCACAACGGCATTCAAGCTTGTCCATGTCAAAGACTTCCTCCATAATCTTCTGTGAGTTTGGATTGTTAGAATAGACAAACTTCATTTTCCTGCAAGTTTTTGGCTCGAGAAATGGCTTCCCCACGTGCCATTTGTTGGATACAAAGCAAAGGGATGGTTGAGACAGCAGGACTCACCAAAGCAGAGCATTACCAAAGTGCTGGGTCCCGCTC